ATTCCTCAACATAGTCTGGTCATATCTGAAAATAGATCATTCCAGTCAAAGCCTTGGTAATATAACCAGTGTCTCTAATTGTGTCATGTTACAAAAGAAAACAGATTCTTACTGAACTTATATAAATAACTACATTGTCATAAATTAAGAATACTCACAAATAGTTTCTAAATTCCAAATAAACCAGGTAAAGAGAAAGATAACTATTTTAAATTTTGCTGACAAAAGTATACTTCACCCAATTTGTTATAAGCTATGAATAGCTAAAACAAAAAGTTTTTTGACTCTGAAAACAAAATATTAAAAGGATTAGCAATGTTTTTTTAAAAAAGGCTGTGAAAAAATAAGTTTAGTTTTTATTAGTTTAGTTCAATGTAATTAACCTTGTTCTGCTTGATGTTGAGTTAGTAATCTTTATAAACACATCAGCCTTTTAGTTAGAGTCCTGGAAGTTCTTTCCTAGTCTTTTGGTATGACAGCTAAAGTTATCAGAAATCTGCATTTAAAAGTCTGTGGCAGAGCCTTTTCTATGATTTTTTAAAAAGAAGCACATTTTGGACTGTAGCTGATCATAAACCACTTTTTGAGGAGAATCAAAGTAAAACAGTAATTGTGGATAGGAAAGACAACATTCATGGTTAAAGACACAATTGTCAAGGAAATTTGATTGTTTTTGTGGCATACTGCAATTAAGCATAATAATCAGAATTATTCCTGATGACAAATACTAAGACATTTCAGAATTTTAGGAATCTTAAACAACTTTGAAACATGTATTAATAGCACACATATATAAATATAACCCAGAGAAAGTTAAACAGCATTTTTTTTTTTTTTTTTTTTTGAGACAGAGTCTTGCTCTCTCACCCAGGCTAGAGTGCAGTGGCGCAATCTTGGCTCACTGCAACCTCTGCCTCCCAGGTGCAAGCAATTCTCCTGACTCAACCTCCCCCCATAGTTTGGATTACAGATGTGCACCACCACACCTGGCTAATTTTTGTATTTTTAGTAGAGATTGGGTTTCAGCATGTTGGTCAGTCTGGTCTCAAACTCCTGACCCCAAGTCATCCACCCACCTCGGCCTCCCAAAATGCTGGGATTACAGGTGTGAGCCACTGTGCCTGGCCACTTGTGTGATTTAACGTACCAAATAAGCTTAATATGTCTCTCTTGGACTTCCAGGGGCCCTAATATCCAAAAAGTTGGTTTGAGGTCAAAAAGATCGAATTTAGAATTCACTGCTGCAAGGAGGTGGGGCTGGAGATATGCTCTATAAAAACTCTTGAACAACAGATTTGATGAGCTTCTAGGTTGGCAAACACATCAAGATGCTGGAAGGGTGGTGTGCCAGGAGAGGGCATGTAAGCCTCACATTCCTTTCTCATACTTTGCCCTGTGTACCTCTTCATCTTGCTGGTAAGTGTTGTTTCCTAGAGTTCTGTGAGATGTTATTGCAAAATATTAAGCTGGAGGAGAGGGTCATGGGAGCCTTTGATTTGTAGCCAAATTAGACAGAAAAGTGGATAACCTGGAGACCCACTATTTGCAATTGGCATCTAAAGTTGGGGAGGTGCAGTTTTGTGAGACTGAGCCCTTAACCTGAGGGGTCTGTGCTAACTCCAAGTAGTTAGCATCAGAATTGAATTAAATTGTAGAATACTCAGCTAGTATATGGAGAATTGGAGAATTGTTGGTTGGCATTGGAAAATACCCTAGACACCTCTCTGTTAGTAGCTTCTATTTATGAAACACCGAAGTCCTATGAGAGAAGTACCATTATTGTAGTATCATTTTTTGCTTTTAAATTATGTAGCAAGATAGACTTTCTGTTGATGTATATAGTTCTGTGAATTTTAATACATGTAGATTCATGTGAATACCACTACAATCAGGGTATAAAACAATTCCTTCACCCCCCTTCCCCAAAACCTCTCTGTGTTATCCTTTTGTAGTCCCATCCTCCCTCCCATGCCCCAACCCCAGGCAACCATTGATCTTGTCACTATAGTTCTGTCCTTTGTGGAATGTCATAGAATATGTAACCTTTTGAGTCTGGCTTTTGTCATTCAACATAATGCTTTTGAGATTCATTTAAGTTGCTGCATGTATCAATAGTTTATTCCTTTTCATTGCTGCATAGTTTTCCATTGTATTGCTGTACCAGTTTGTCTATCTCTTCACTTGCTGAAGGACATTTGGGTTGTTTCCAATTTTTGTTGGTTACAAATAGGGCCGCTGTAGACATTCATGGATTTTATTTGTTTGTTTTGTTTTTTGTTTTTTGAGATAGAGTCTTGCTCTGTTGCCCAGGCTGGAGTGCAGTTTGGCTCGCTGCAACCTCTGCCTCCCGGATTCAAGCAATTCTCCTGCCTCAGCAGGAGAGTACCTGGGACAACAGGCATGTGCCACCACACCCGGCTAATTTTTGTACTTTTTTTTTTTTTTTAGTAGTAGAGATGGGGTTTCACCATGTTAGCCAGGCTCGTCTCAAACTCCCGACCTCAAGTGATCCGCCCACCTTGGCTTCCCAAAGTGTTGGGATTACAGACATGAACCACCATGCCCGGCCAAATAATTTTTATTATTATTTTTTTTTCTGATACAGAGTCTCGCTCTGTCACCCAGGCTGGAGTGTAGTTGCACGATCTCAGCTCTCTGCAACCTCTGCCTCCCGGGTTCAAGCGATTCTCTTGCCTCAGCCTCCTGAGTAGCTGGTATTACAGGCGTGTGCCACCACACCTGGCAAATTTTTGTATTTTTAGTAGAGATGGGGGTTTCATCATGTTGGTCAGGCTGGTCTCGAACTCCTGACCTCATGATCTACCCACCTCAGCCTCCCAAAGTGCTGGGATTACAGGCGTGAGCCACCGTGCCTGGCCACCAGATGATTTTTTTAATAAACGTAAGATTTCATTCCTCCAGGGTAAATATCTAGGATTTGGGTGCGGGACCATTTGGCACATATTTAATTTTATAAGAAACCAGCGAACTGCTTTCTGGCATGGCTGACCGTTTTGCATTTCCAGCAGCGGTAGCTGAGCGTTCTAGTTGCCCTGCAGCCTCCCCAGTATTTGCCTTTGTCAGTTGTTTTAGCCATTCTATTAGGTGGAATCTCATGGTGGCTTTAACTTGCATTTCCTTAACAGTTGCTAATGTCAAACATCTTTTCATGTGCTTATTGGCTGTCTGTATATTCACCTTGGTGAAGTGTCTGTTCAAATCTTTTGCTCATTTTGTTGTTGTCAGTCAGGATTGTTTGTTTTCTTGATGTTGAGTTTTGGGAGTTTTTTATTCTTGATACCAATTCTTTGGCAGATATGTTGTTTACAGATACTTTCTCCCACTCTGTAGCCAATATTTTCATTCTCTTGACAATGTCTGTCACAGAGCAAACATGCATTTTTAATTTTCATTAGGTCCAATTTATCAACGGGAGATAAATTTTCCTGCTAATAACCATGCTTTTTGTGTCATCTCTATGCACTCCCTGCCTAACTGTAGATCACAAAAGTTTTTCTCCCGTATGTTCTTAAAACTATAATTTTAGGTTTTACAAACAAACCTATGATCCATTTTGAATTAATTTTTGTGTAGGCTGTGTAGTTTAGGTTGTAATACAGGTTGTGCAGTTTAGGTTGTAATAGAGGTTGTGCAGTTTAGGTTGTAATAGAGGCTGTGCAGTTTAGGTTGTAATAGAGGTTGTGCAGTTTAGGTTGTAATACAGGTTGTGCAGTTTAGGTTGTAATACAGGTTGTGCAGTTTAGGTTGTAATACAGGCTGTGCAGTTTAGGTTGTAATAGAGGCTGTGCAGTTTAGGTTGTAATAGAGGTTGTGCAGTTTAGGTTGTAATAGAGGCTGTGCAGTTTAGGTTGTAATAGAGGTTGTGCAGTTTAGGTTGTAAATAGAGGCTGTGCAGTTTAGGTTGTAATAGAGGTTGTGCAGTTTAGGTTGTAATAGAGGTTGTGTAGTTTAGGTTGTAATACAGGCTGTGTAGTTTAGGTTGTAATATAGGTTGTGCAGTTTAGGTTGAGGCTCATTTTTTTTACAAATGGATAATTTTTCCAGCACCATTTATTGAAAAGTTTATCATTCTCCATTGAATTGCCTTCATACCTTTGTGAGAAAGCAATTGGTCATATTTTGTGTGGGTGTGTTACTGGACTCTCTATTCTGTTCCATTGATTTATTTCTGTCCCCCAACCAGTACTACACCGTCTAGATTAATGGAGATTTATAATGTCTTAAAATTCAGTAGTCTTAAAATTGATATTGCTTCTATTTTATTATTTTTCAAAATTGTTTTGTATTCGCGTTCCTTTGCCTTTCCCATATTTCATTTTATTTTTAATGATGTTATAATTTTTTATTCATTTTATTTTTTTAGAGATGTGGTCTTGCTCTGTTGCTTAGACTAGAATTCAGAGGTGCAATCGTAGCTCACAACAATCTCGAATTCCAGGGCTCAAGTGATCCTCTTGCTTCAGCCTCTCCCCCCTCCCTTTAAAAAAAAGAATCAGTTTGTATATATTATCAATAATCCCTCTGGGATTTTTACTGCAATAATGTTAAATCTATAGACAAATATGAAGAGAATTGACTTCTTTACTATATTGGGTCTTCTAATCCATAAAGATGGTATATCAGTCTCTCCATCTATTTAGATTTCTTTTGGAGTTGCTTTCTTTTAACACTTTAAATTCCTCACTCCACTTTCTTCTTGTTTGCCTAATTTCTGACAAGATATCAGCTATAATTTTATCCTTGTTCCCCTATAGTTAGGTGTTCTCTCACCCACTCCCCAGCTTCTTTTAAGAGTTTTCTGTCATTGGACTGTTGTCTGTCATTAGTTTGGAAGATTCTCGGCCATTATTATAATATGTATTATTTTTTGCAGTCAAAACAGTTTTTAAAGAAACATACTATAAACAAGTCATTGTCTGCCCAGCTGTGTTCAAACCATTACACAACTTTTTTGTTTTTCTACCGTTCACTGTGACCTACTGATAGAGAATACTTCACTCACTGTCCCAATCCTGGATGTCCTTTCCAGCCTCCGACTTGACCCAAACTTCCTATTGAAGGTAGGAAAGACTCAGCTTTCCAGAAGCAGAGCCCACTTTCCAACCTCCCGGAACAGGTGCTAGTTTTGTCTTGGGAGAAATCTTGTGTAATGAATATTTCATTTTGAAACCATAGTGAATCATATTTGATATCTCTCTTTTTTTATTTTTCTCAATGAGTTTCAGATGCTATTCTATGATAGATTCACAGGTCTGTTTTTAAGCAGTAAGTTTTGAGTGGAAATCTTCTATATTGTCTGAATTGTACCTACTTCCCATAGGAATAATACTTTTTCTGCCTTACTATAGCCAATTGAGAATTTAGGCTCTAAATGTAAGATAATAGCTCTGTTTCACATTTATTGTCTGTCTGTTTTTGATGAAGCTGTGGTATGAACAACTAAAAGATGGTAATTTGGGGAAAAATATAGAGGTTTTTTTTTTTCCTAAATTACAAGTGGGAAAATTGAGTGAGAGAAGTGATTTTTTTCTGATTTTACCTAACAGTTCAGTACAAGTTGAGGTATATCAATATGAAAACGTATTAAGTTTTTGTGCTTTTAATTTTTAGGTTCGCCAGTGATGGATAAGTTGTCATCTATTAGATTGGAGGATTTACCTGTGACAATAAGTTCATTCTTCTTTCCCATCACACCTAGATAAAGGGACTTAAATTAATAAATCCCAATTGCTCTTCTCTGTCCCCTGACTAACCGAGAATACTGACTAACCCAGATAGCATTCAGCAAAGAGAATGGAGCTATTCAACAGATTCATTACTCTGTATAAGCTGCTATAAGTTACATTTAACTCTTTCTGTGTAGTACCTCACAGAATTCTGAAATTTTGGGTCTGACATTCTATGACATTGCGTTAGCTATTCTAATCAACGCTATTTTTCAGAATGTCTTGTCCAACGTTTAAAATTTTTTCTTCCTCAGTCTTTCAGGAGATTGTCATGGCTGAGAGACTGGACTGTACCTACCCACTAGGAATGAACAGAAAACCATAGTTAATATTTACTTTCTGCAGGTAATTTCTGAGCTTTGGGAGAAGCTGGATCTGCAACATTGTGTTTTGCCATCACGGTTGCAGGCTTCCCAAGTAAAGTTGAAAAGTAAAGGACGAGCAAGGTAAAGAGCTCATGGATAATTGCCACCTTTTTCTCACACAGGATGTCACAATTTTCTGACATCCCAAAGTCAGAGTTAGAGCTTAATACTTACAACTACAAATAATGGTACTATTATGATATTTACATCTATTATTGTACAGTGTTTCAAATTACATATATGTGTGTGAGTATGTATGTGTTTATATGTTTTCTTAGCCATTCAGATCAATCCCAGACAGACTACAGTGCAAGTTTATTAGCCATCTTATATGTGAGGTTGTCGTTTCCTCCAGGGGTACATGGCTACTAAGCAGGAACTCAGATCTTGTAAGTTCTTTTCTGGTAGGTAAGAGTAATTTTTTTTCCTCTCTGCTACTTGTAGTTCCTCAGGAAATCAAGAAAGCAGCATCAGAGCTGTGTTATTCTCCTCTTTGATGTAATAAAGTCAGCTATTAGATATGAGAAAACCATTTCAGAAGCCTGGATTAAGGTGAGATCTTTGGAACTGTGATTATCAAGGAGGAAATGAGTGGCAATTAGTGACAGATGTATAACTGAGGTAGATTGAAATAAAAATCTCAAAAGTCATTCGAGTGGAAATGATGGCTGATGGCTGCCATATGGACACATTGGCTCTTGGATGACATAACAGGGCAGGCTGAGTAAGGTGAAACGTGTTTCACTGATGTGTCGTAATGTTTTTGTGACTGTCTCTTGTTTTTTCAGGCAATTGAAAACACTGCCTGAGTGTCTGAACACAAGGTAATGTTCATGTACTATGCATTTTCAGTATTGCAGACTTAAAAGTAATGACGTTGGCTAGCTTGTCTTCCCGCTTTCTTTCTTTCCCCTCCTTCCAGTCACTCTTTTCTTCTCTTCTCTAGTTGCTCTAATAAACATTAGCTGTCTGGGGAAGATAATCTGAGGGGGCGACTGGCCAGATAGCCTGCCCCTACTCACTCTGGCTATAAAATAAGCCTACAGTATCCATAAGGGGAAATACTAACAGTGTAACCAAGCATATCAAGATGCAGTCAAAGAAGCCAAGTCCCCACCGATGAGATGAAGAAAATAACCACCTGAGTCTCAGGTCCCTGTATCTGCCTAATTGCCCTTCCTTCCACCCAGCACCACTGTCAAGATAATGGCATTCCATGTTTTA